ACCCTTGAACGGCGTTAACGTCAGGGAACAGGTGTCTGCTTTCAATGCGGCGAATGGTAAGTACGCAGTTGTAACAAAGTAATATATATTTCTATCGGAAATCATGTATGTTTAGACAAATTTTTATCATTAATTTGAAATACAATTGTGAATATAAGTAGAAAATTTATGAAAATTTATTCTATTTAATATAATTGAAATTCACGGTTCTTGAACAGAATATAATAACATATTATAACGTTAATATATTGAATACATCTCTGTGTAAATTTAATATAGCAGATGGGCAGAATGATATGTCGCGAGAGGAGAACAACGACGAGGTATCATCGACGTCGTCGGAGAAATATGAGCGTGACGTGACGATCCTGAATCACTGCTTTGACGACATCGAAAAGTTCATAGCGCGTCTGCAGCATGCAGCTGCCGCGTCTCGGGAGCTAGAGCGCCGACGACGTAATCGGAAGTCAAAGAAGAGAAATCTCGGCGATGGTATGCTCACGATGAGAGCAAAGCCGCCTCCTGAGATGGAGTTCATTGATATCTTTCAGAAGTTTAAGCTTTCGTTTAATCTTCTAGCCAAGCTCAAGGCGCATATCCATGATCCCAATGCGCCAGAACTTGTACATTTCCTCTTCACACCGCTCGCGCTCATCGTGGACGCCTCTCACGATACTAATTATGATCCGAATTTACCTAGTAAAGTGGTGTCGCCGCTTCTCACGCGAGAAGCGGTCAATCTGCTGATAAATTGCGTCACCAGCAAAGAGACTGAGCTGTGGCATTCACTGGGCGACACGTGGTTGATACCGCGTGATCAATGGAAAGTACATGTACCACCATACCATCCGATCTTTATGGACGGCTGGTCACCAGAATATCCTATTCCCGAAGATAGGGATCACGATCATTTAGCGTCCTTATTGAACGCGGATAAACAAAAGAGGGATGAGTTACCAGAACAACAGAATGATCCTTATTACAATCACCGCGATGTGGATGAATCGCATTATAGCAGCGATTATTTAGAGTATGAGAGTCGAGAGGAACGTGGTGGTAACGAATACTTTGATAGGAATTATGGGCCCAGCTCAGAATTGTATGGCCGTGAGGAAAGAACTGATCAGACTAGGGCGCATAGTGACATTTCCGTCGACTCGATCGAGAGAGCTCCCAGAACAGCCGTTGGTATAGAGAGAGCACAGGAGGCTTGGTTGGATGAATTGGTAGCACGCCACGTTAAAATCGTGCAAGTTACTTATCCACGAACGGCGAACAATGATAAGGAACTCACGGTAGTCAGAGGCGAATATTTGGAGATTCTTGACGATAGCAGGAAATGGTGGAAAGCGAGGAACTCCCGAGGACAGATCGCTCATGTGCCACACACCATTGTTACGGCGCACAATCCCACTACTCATTCTACTGACAATGATGTCTTTAACAATCCTCTATACACCAGTAGATATCCAAGACAGGGGCACGGCTATAATTATGAGGTGAGAGTTATTAAAGAGATGTGAACACATTTTCGGATAAAGTTTGTCGTTGAAAATTATTCTCAATACAAGAGATGTGAATGTGTTTGTAGATAGTTGCATGCAAAAGTAGGAACACACACAATTATGTTGAATTGTTATGTAATATGATAGTATAATTAGGCAACAATATATGTATATAACTGCAATATGACTGCAGTGACGAGTCGGAAACCTTAATGTATTGACGTTGCATTTTAATCAAATTATTACGAGCTTATATTGAAACTGTACCGCAGCGTACTTTATACATTGCAAAAGACAGCTCTATATTCACTCCCTGAAGATATATAATTAAGAATTGAAAGTATTGATGTAGTGTAGATTATTAAATTAATTATAAATTTCATGTATTTAATGTGTAATAGATTTGATTACATGTTAAAGGATTCGGAGATTGAGAGAACCAGTACTAGTCCAGGTCCGGAAGCCACTCATCGAACACATGCGATTCCACCGCCAGCGCCTGCTGATTGGGTGAGAAAGGAAAGACTTGGGAAAAAAGGTGAATTTCGGTACTTTTAAGTCATTTATCTAGCTCGCGCTTGAATGCCTGTTATTTTTAATCGAATTTGGGCAGTTTCTGATAATTAGGAAAAGTATCAAATTTCAGATTTTTTATCGCCTCTAATATCATATTATAAATAAGATTTTTTTATACCAATAACGAATGTCTTCCAAAATCGAAAGAAATGCTGTCTTGACATTATCGTGACATTAAAGTCAATATATTAATCCAACAAAGCTAATATAACATAAGAAATAAAAGTACGTGCATCACGTTAGTTTAGCTATAAACTGTAGCATAATTAATCGTTAGAGCATCGTCCAATTAGTACTTCAATTAGCACACTTGTGAAGGGACATTGTACTTAATATCTGATGATTTTCTTTTGAACCTGTACATATGTGAGCGTAGATTGTGTGAGCCATTCAAACGATTGCAATGAAGACGTAGTTTTCTAAGTTTTTCGCAATTGTTCTGTTATATTGATCATTCACAGAGTGACACCAGTAAATTTTGTTTGTTTTTTACATACGAGTATATTGTTCTCATATCTTTGCATTACAAAGCCATTGTCTGTCTCTGTCTTGCATACCTACACACAATGTTGTAGCAAATTGCACAGTCATTGTTGAAAAGATTAATAAATATGAAAAAGAAAGTTTTAAATACATAAGTGAATAATTCATTTTATGTGATATGACTATATATTTATAAGAAAGTTTTTTAAGAAATATTGATTATTTTGTTGATTTTTCTTTATCATTATCACAGATGTAGCGTTATCACAGATACAGACATTATACTTAATGGCAATCAGAAACAAAAGTGCAATGGTGATAGCAAAGATATCGAGGGGAAATTTCCCGACGCAATGTGACGTATTGTCGGACACTTGAAATAAAAGTGAAGATTTTGGGACCACATTTAGTGTGAAATTAATTAATAAGCCGTTCTCTCAATAATGGGATCTATTAGCAGTGACTATCAACCACACATAAAAGTATTGAATTGTATGAATCTCGTAACACGATTTTGATTAAATGAAAAAATCGATAATGACAATCGTCCAGCATTTAACGTGGTTGAAAGTTACCAACTAGTTTCTAATTTTCGCTATATTTCTATATTATCAATTATATCGTCACATATACCATATGTTATCTTTTATATTTATCGACTAACCAAATTTAGCTGTGTAGTTTACAACGAAAGAAAGAAAAATCGATATACATATTATATATTATATACTTATTACTTTATATATATATATGAAAATGTTACGATATTGGGTGTTAATTCCCGCTAAGATATTTTCTTCCGTTAAAAAGTACTCACTAAAGCAATGCAAGTTATACGGAGTATGAAATAATCTAATTGTAAGTATCATGCGTATATGTAAACGGTTAAATTAGTCGGGACGATATAATATCTACATTAGATATATGTATATTTCCGTTGAAATTATAACTGTGTTTGTCCTTTGTTCTTATACTGGGGCTTTCATTGCGAGAAAAAAATTCTATGACTTCGATAAAAGCTCTTGATAAGAATTATATTATCTGGAAGAATATATAATATAATAGGCAGGAAAGGAAAATGTGACTTTTCTAATACGTACAATACGTTGTCTCGTTCATCTCTGTTCATTTTTTATCAACAGCTTTTATTGACGTAGCAAATCTTTTTGCCGATCCTGCTTGTACGTGTCATTGTCGCATGTATTATGTATGTATTGATGTAAATAAGCTTGTACAAACGACCGAAGGGAATACGAGGGAAAAGGAAGCTGTAAAAAGATTGAGAGAAAAAATATATACATATATATGATAAATTTTCATAAAGTTTAAAAATACGAGAAATTAGCGAATGAGATCTAATCAATCTTCATATAATTGATATTAATTTCGTTAAGTAACTCTCCAACAAACAAGAATGGATTGAAATGAATTAAAATAGAGTCAGCTTTTCAGAAATGGATTCATGTTAAAATGAATCCTTTTCAATCCTGAAATTATCCTATTTTTATTCATTTATAGGAATTGCATAAAGCATATCTCTATGCAAAAATAATTTCTATTCAAAAATAATATTAGCATTTTCTGTGCATCATGAATACTACTCAATTCAGAATTGTGAATAGAAAGTACGGTTTTTTAATTCAGTTAAATTCAAAAATAATATCAGCAATTTCTGTGCAACGTAAATACTGCTCAATTCAATATTCTGATTATGAAATGCAATTTTTCAATCTAATTGAATAAAACAAGTTTTTATTTAAAAATGGATCATAAATGCTACTTAAATTATTTAAAATTATAAGTAGAAAATTTTTCGTTTTAATCCAATTAAGTTAAAAAAAATTGTAACGTAAAAATAATTGAGCTATGTTTATTTGTTTCTCTTTGATTAGAACTATTGTAAAATGAATGATCGAAGTGAACACTCGCAAACTAATTTGAACAAACCCGAATATTAGACTAATCACGGTGCGCGACATCAGCCAAGCGAGATTAGATTATCCAATACTTACCCAATGTTGTCTCATGTAAATTGTTTATATTTTATTATATCTGTTAAATGATAATATTTTTATTATATCTATATAATTTCGTTACTAGTTTAGCTGGTTGTAATTGAAGTAGAGAATGAATAACACATTTACCATTTGAAGAAGTGGTGTAGTGGATAACGTAGAAGATTCATAATCTAGAGGTCCCATTAAGATATGTTTTTTAATACCAATTTGAAGTAGTTGATTTCAGGTATAATTATTATAAATATTTTAGGAATAAAATTTGTTTTTAGAAATAAAATCTTTAAAGATGAATGTTTTTTTTTTCAAATATTAAACTAGTGTCAGCTCGGATTCAATCCATTTCAATCCATTTTCATGGATTTAAAGTATGCATTAAAAAAATTTTAATCCATTTTAATCCATTTTCATTTGCTGGGTCAGAATCTTAGCTTCTCTCGATACATTTCTAATTCTTTAAATCTTCATTATCGAAGAAAAACAGAAAAGGTACAAGCATAAAATACAGAATTGATGCTATTATTATTTTTATTGCAACTTGCATTATTTATTGTCATATATTTAAAACCACATCAATGTGTTGACTTAAACAGAGATAATAACTAGTCGACCAAAAGAAGTCAAATAAGCAATATAATAAACGTGGACAACCAGTACAAGCTCTTGTTATTCTTTCTCTGTTACAGATGCATTCTCTTTATATTCCTTTATTTATTGTTAGATTGTGATGTTATATCGTAATCATCGATAAAACGCTCTTACAATATGGTAATCTAGAAACGCGACATATTTTTCGTGAGAATTTACGATGTGTAAAGATTAAAAACATAAACGATTACATGCTCTCCTATTTTTTCCGCGATCGATTCATGTATTATTTTAACATTTATGATGTGTGTGTCCATGGGCCGGGAATGCGATCCGTCAGTATTTCAATATACTGTAATTTTTTATGTGCACATCACTTATTATTAATAAAACATTGTACTTATGCGAGATTATCGTCGTTGTCCCCATCATTCCTCTTGTTTCCTGCGAATCGTAACAACTGTTAGATATAATTGTAAATTGTTTTATTCAAAGATGCATTGTTTAGTGTAGTGTTAAACAATTCATAATTTGTGTAACAGACATGCACATACCACATGATGAATGGTGATTTACAATC